ACTTAATTCGTTTCTTGAAAATATTTGTATTGGTATTTGTTTATATGATTTGAAATATTTTTGGTAGAGATTTCGACAATTGTTATATTCATTTTTAAATTTTTGAGTATATTTGATTAGTTTTATATGATTTTAAATATTTTTGGTAGGGATTTTGACAGTTATTATATTCATTTTTAAATTTTCAAGTATATTTGTCAATGTTAGTATTCATGGTAAATTTTAATTTGATTAATACCAACTTTGCCAAAATGTCGATCTATTTAAAGCAAAACTGAATTCGATTTATAAGTATTTTAGATATTAACTAGATTATGACCCGCGTTAAACGCGGGGAACATAAATTAAATACATATCACATTAATAGGTAGCTTTGACTTAGGTTTAATTTTAATAAAAAAAATGTTACTTAGATTCATTTTTAGAGTTTTTGAACCAAACTTATTAGATAAAAATATCTAATATTTATATTAGAGAAATTTGGTTTTTAATATAGTAATTTATAACATGAATGATCTATGTGATATTTGTTTTATCACAACATAATGCGACTTCTTGATTAAAACATGTTGTGTAGTAACTTTATGAATTGACTTTGTTCGGTGTGTCAACCCCCATGGAGGATCATATGGTTCTTTTCATATTAGCCATTTAAAACCAAAAGCAACAATAAGTTGTTACATGTACCAACAACATTAAATTCAGCAAAGAAATTCGATAAACATTACAAATAAAGTGACTTCTCATAATCATAAACATCAAATTCAAACATTTTAATTTGGTCCATTTCAAAGTATTTTTTCCTTATAAAAATTAAAATATGAATTTTCAGGCTACACTCAATCACATATACATATCTTCCGATAAAATAAATTATTATAAAAAAAAAACATGTTATGAACAAAAATATAATATTAGTTTCATAAATTGCTAAAGGTTAACACTAATAATAATAATGAACTTTTACAAATCTTGCATTTTGGTCACTACATCCAACTAACAAATGAAATTCGGTTTAGAGGATTGATTCAAGAAGTGCATTCATGACTTCTTATAGCTGAATTTTGAGAAATATTAAGACCTACTGAGATATGAGGGAATGGTTTGTGAGACTATGGTTGGTTTCTATAGGGCAATACAAATTCAAAATTGTTAGCACATATCTTTCCTACCCACTTCAATCATCAAATTTAGATCAAACTTGTCAAAATCAAATTATATATATATATATATATATATATATATATATATATATACATACATACATACATACATATATATACATACATATATATATATATATATATATATATATATATATATAACAGATATGTAACCTAACAATCAAACATTATATTTTTTATTGAAATAAATATCATAAATCTACAATTTACACTTTATATATTATTCGTAAACTATATATATATTATCTTTTCATCTTTAATGGTTACTAACACCTCTTTCTGCCTTATTGTTGTGACACGTATCTATATCGAAAATAAGAGAAAGAACTATAGAGAAGAATGTTGACAAAATGATACGTCATTGAAAACGTAGTAAAATTCTTTATAAAGCCGCTAGGATTCTTCTATAGGCCGCTAGAAGGTCTATATAGTGACAACTGGTATGGCATCCATGATAACACACCAGTTAAAATAACGTTTTGATTAATGTGAGTGAAAAAATCATTTAGCATGCTTACCAGCTGTGATTGTTTCCACTTGGATGTGAACATTAAAATTATTGTAGAGAAATGGAACTTCAAATGAACCCTACATAGTCAAATTAATAAACATGACAACACAAAAAGAAGCCTAACTTGGCATATAACCAAAATTCAAACAAATTTCAAAATTTTAAGGTTTTGCTGAACAATTTTTTCAATTTATCAGAATTTTGTTTTATTACAACCTTATATGGTAATCAAGAATCTAAATCAAGTGAAAGAAGTAGATGTTCATTTAAATCCAATAAAAAAATTACAATATTGTGAAATTGCATATAATTTACATGCTTGCTTATTGTCTTGGAGGTATCCGACCACTTGCATATGTACTATTATTTGATTAATTAGTGCATAAATTACATTATAGAATATGAAATTTAACGATTGTTCGAATTCATTTACACTTGATTTAACAATAGAAAATGGAAAATTTTATAATCATAAAAGTATGCTTAATTCAAAAATTTTGTTATCAAAATTAATAGACAACTGTATTTCTTGAAGAAACAAATCAAATACACAAAAACGAATAAAAAACAAAATACATTTGAAGATCATGTAAGAAATGTATGACCAATAAGATCTTTTTGACACTTTTCAATATAGACATGGTTAATAGTTTCTCATCTTCAGGGTGATAAATACAAGTGAATAGAGTAAACAAATTTATAAACAAGTGAATAGAGTAAACAAATTTATAATCATGAAAATACGCTTAATTCAAAAAAATTGTTATCAAAGTTAATGGAAAGCATTTTTGTCGAAATAATCAATTATTAAGTATGTAGGATATTACCACTAAGGGATTTTGAGTTTTGCATCATCCTCAAGATTCAATAAAAACATCAACTAATGTTCATCACTTTCAAGTAAAAATCTTTGAAATTTAAACTTAACTGTAGCAAATCTAATCAAATACGTTATAGAAAAAGATAAGGTTAAGAATAATTGCATAAAGTTACTGAGCTAGATGGTTGGAAATCGAGCAATTGTAATTTGACATGTATGAAACCGATTATTATCTTCAAAATTGGAAGTATTTACTATATTAATAAGAATTAAATACAAGGTGATTGTTTTGCCATTGATGAATTTTGGTACCATTGATGTAAACTGAGAAAGAAATAGAATAATTAAGAAGATATATCATGTTGATTTTCAAACATATATGATGGTCAGTGCATAAGTGATGGCTTTAAATTTGGGGAGGATTTGAATTTTATTTTAGGGATAACAGAAATTGGTGAAGGTTTGAGTGGAAACATTGATGGACAACGTGTTTGACCAAACATTGGTCAAAATGACGTAAACAATTTGATCTAAGGATGGAAAAGGTATAAGTGAAGCACAATTAAAAATATTTATTGCTTTAGATGATGAAATAAAGTTTCTCTTTTAGACATAAAATTCAGTCTTCTATTTTGTATATGTAATGTCTTACACTTGGGTTGTGGTGACTTAGTAAGACACGTGGAAGATATGGTGTATAACATATTGACTAATGTTCAAATCCTGGTACTACTCAGCCTCTATGGCCATGGAGATTTGTCTGTAGTGACTTCAGGGCATGAGTCATAGCCTTCTGTTCGGAGCGGGGGATTAGTCGGTGCACGAAAGCTGGCCCGCAAGCCCTTGTTAGGGAAGTTCCCTTTCCAAAAGAAAGTCTTAGTCTTCGCCTCTCTCTAGCGTTATTGTAATGAATTTTATTATTTAAATCTGTAAAATTATGGATATCATTAATATCTAAATAATAATAATATTTTAATGGTAAATGTTTACTAATTACTAATAAATTTATCAATAAATTCACAAGGAAATATAAATAATTGTTTTAGAACGGTTAAAAGATTTATAAAAGTTTATAATTTTATAAAAAGTTGTAGTTTGCTAATATTTATATTGAAGTTGGAATGAATAACATTGTAACAATGCTGACAAATTCACATTCAAACGGAATAATAGAGTAAAAAATGATTAAAATTCTAAATTCATATGAGTTTAAAACAAAAAGACAAATAGATGAATAATTCAACATTTCATAAAACCCAAAATGTATTTAAATGATCAAAATTCTAACCTAAAAAACGAATAGTATGAAACAAACTAATCAAAAACAAAACCTAAAAACCAAATAGTATGTAAATATAATATGAAATCAACCGTACTCAAATTACCTTACTACTCATATAAGATCATGAAAATCATATATTATTATTTTTCTTTCTTTGGAATTAATAGTTTTGGTTTGCCTTCTCCAGAAATACGATCTGTCATTGATGTTAATGATCGTTTGGTTGGGGACATTGTTTCCAAATTATCAACATTGTAAACATCTTCCAAGTTGTGTTTTAATTCTTCATGTATAGACACTTTTTTAAAGTATGTCCACTTAGTTAGTGAACTTGTTGCAATCCTTTTATTAAGATTCGAAGCGGGTGTGACGTTATCACCACTAAACGTATCTGCATCCTAAATATAGAAAAAAATTCTTATGTCAATCTAAAAGTTAATAATATTTTTAAGTATTTAATTATTAGATTTACTTATATTATATTTAAAACCTTTAAATTTAATGTGTCTTGACATCCGAATTTCGCTGATAAAATGTTAAACAAATCGGATTACGACGCCTATATTTGTAATACATAGAAATATGTTATTGATCAACTAAAATATAAAAAACGAATCTAATAAGTGTAGTGTTTGTAGTATGTTTTGTAAAAGAATGTTACATGCCCGATGTTAATTTTTTTTTTACAATTCAACAGTGATTTTATTATAAGCATTAGAGTTTGGGATTGCATAACCATCAACATTGTTCTTCAAATTATAATATATATATATATATATTAAAAATGTGTGTTCTTAGCTACATAATTTGGGTCGTCTTTTGTCAAAATTTCCCCTTCTATTATGCTCTTCTTCTCTTTGTTTTTTTAGGATCCTTTATTTATGTATTTGTTACTGCCGGTTTTTGTATGGGCATTTTATGCCATTTTGTCATTTCTTTAGGTGTATGGGTCTATGTGTTTCCTAGAGACGTATATTCCACCGCCTTTGCCCTCCAATGGCTTTAATCCACATACATAACACTTGCCTGCTCCTCAGCCCGATAGTCTCACTGCTCTGCTTTGTGAGAAAACCACTACCGCTTCTGCATCCATGTTATGCCCACCGCCTCTCTCTCTCTCTCTCTCTCTTTCATTCTCAATCAGCCGCTTCACCGCTTTTGTTACCCACCCGGGTGTTCATCGGGTTACTGTCTACCATGGTCACCAGCTCCACCGCCTCCCTCTCCCGAACCTCTCTGTAGAGAACCTCTTTTGGTGGAATCTTTCCAGCTTCAATAGATTCGCTTGACTGAATCGAGAGGTGAGTTTTGTGCCCGTGAAGGAAAAGCAAGAACAAGAAGTGATTGAAGGTAGAATCGATTCGAATTTTTCTTCTCTATGCATTCTCTTTTCTAATGCTATTTGATCAGGTGATACGTTATTTCCAGAACCCTATCTATATCCCACCTCTGAGTTTTTCTACCGCCTCCAACGGCTTTGAGCTCGCTGTACCCGCTGTTGCTTTCGCCATTCTCTCCAAAGTCGGGGTTGAATACGATGGAATAATTGCCTATTCAATGCTTTCAATCATAGTCGAACCTTAACTGATTGCCTTCAGAATTTCGGTTGCTTGACTTGCCAACTCATTTCAACAACCGATTTCTTTTAACCATTGATCCTTTTTGTCTCATCCGCCTCCTTTGCCTCCGCTGGGTGGCTTTATTGCATTCTACATCAGCTTCATTTGCTTCTCTTCATTTATATCTCTTTTAACACTATTTTTTTTCCAGATATGGTCCTTATATCTTTCGCCGACGACACTGCATCCCCTATTTATGGAGAAACGACGTTCCTAACCCTAATATCCGCTAATTTCTCTCACTAACCACCGAAAGGTAAATCTCTATTTCTCTGTTACTTTTGTCGATGGATTTGATTGATGAAATAAATCATTTTAATAATTTTTTCTTCTGCGTACAATTTTCCTTCGAATTCAACAACCTCAGGTACAATTGTTTCTCTTTCTCTTCTTCTTCTTCTTCTTCTTCTTCTGAATTATTGTCCTCTTGCTGTTGTTGATTGTTGTTGATGTGATATTTCATCTACAATAACATGTTTTTTGTTTGTGGATTTCATGTATATTTACAAAAAAATTTAGAAACTCATGAAGTTGAAACTAATCATGGTAAGATTTCTCTATTATGTTTTGATGAAGTTGGAGCTAAGAATAGGAAATGTTTTGTTTGAAAAAAAGAAACTGATTTGGGGCATATTAGATTGTTTTTGTTGTTCATACATGACAGATTTGAAGATGCACATCAAGTGTTTTGATGAAATTCCTCAAAAAACCGGTAAGATGAGTTCGAATCCATTCTCAATTACACATGCTTCCTACTCACGCAGTTTCATAACTAATGCTGGGAAAACTAAGGTCTCTTTCCCCTTTACTTTAGTTTTATACATTCTATTTCACATACTTTTATTTTTTGTATTCCGGATTAGTAATTTGAGTACAAATTTACTTGATTCCTTTTTGTATATTGATTTATATTGATTTACTTTGTTTTTTTTAATCTTTTTTGGGCCAGTCGGTCTTTTGGTACTTCCATTTCAGCAGGAGAAGAGTACCTGGTGTAAGAAAGGTTGCTATTTTGATTATTCAGGTCAAATGTAGCAGTTTTTAGATGGAAAATTGATGTAGATTTCTTTGCAAATGTAACACCAACCACATTTCTAGATGTCTTAATCCTTCTATTTTTTTCATATGTTTAGTCTCAAGCAAGAATATGGTTTGCAGAAGTGGATACACATAAGATTTTATGAACAAATAAGCATACGTAGTCTACTTTCTGATGGGGAACTGTTGTAAGTCCATTAGTTTTGATAAATTACGCTTTTGGTTCCTGTGATGTATCAGTTTTTCCTTTGTTTTAGGGTTTTATTTCATTTGCTTTCGAAAACCTGCATAACTATAACAAAAACCATATAACTATCAGGAAGGTAGATGTAATACTTGGGATATATAGTGTAAGGATCTCCCTCAACTAACATGTTATTTCAAAGCATTGACTTGTCTATTAAACTCTAAAATGTTTAATAGAATATCATGTCACCATTCTAATTTTCATATAAGTTTACATATTATGATTTTATGACTGTCGAATTCTTTGTTTGCAGAAAAAGGTGAAATTGAGGGTAAAGAAAGCCACGAATGGCATTCCTATCCATCGGAAGAACAAACAGGCTCAACGATCTCAACTGCTTACGAATTCGATTAATAGATTTTTCAATTTAGGTTTTCTCATTTTACTTTCGCTTTGCTCTTTAGATGTATGTGGCATGCAACAGTAGAACGTCTTCTCCTAACAAGCACGATTTGTGGAGACCTGTCTAGATCCATCCCCGCGAAGACACTAATTAGGGTAGTCGCAGCAGGTCTTTTTCTATCGGTGTTGACGTTATTGCCATCCATGATTTTGTGAAAAGGTGCAAAAAGAAATTTCTTTTTTCCGTTTTTATAATATATATATATATATATATATATATGTATGTATGTATGTATGTATGTATTTCTATTGCATATATTTATCAAAATGGCATTAATGTGAACTCAAATTTATATTTTTGCAGGAAATATGGAAGAGCGCAAGGAATTCTTTCGGAATCTATATAATTTCATATTCAAAGCCAAATGTAAGTAGATCATTATTTTATTCTCATACTTTTGCTTCTTTAATGGACTTTGTCTAACTCAATTACTACAAATATTGCAGCAAGAACAGAGGAAGCATAAACGGGATGTCCACCCAAGACACACATAAATGACCCGATGGGCCCAAGCCCGCTATCACCCGACTTATAAAAGCAGTTTGACCTTTATTCTAGAATAATTGTAGTACATTTTGTGAAGTTGCCATTGTTATTATGAAAAATAAAAGGTGAAAGAAACATCAATAGACAACTAATTCTGTCAAGTGTCCAGTATTGTTTTTCTGGTATGCGAAGAAGACAATGAAGTCGAATGGATTCCACTTCTGTAAGCACCATACACCAAAAATGATCAGTTCTGTTCACATCCATCCCCGCAACGTGGGGATCCTCATCTAGTTTGAATTATGAACGCCAACTTTTTATCCGAAAGTAATTTCAAAGCAGACGGATAAATCTTTATATTACCCTCCTAAAAATGAAAAAATTAACGATTATAAAAATAGACAGACAAAAAGTAAAAATTAGTTTTATGTAAATGAAGTTAATATCAATAACCTCATTAAACTTTTGAAGCAACTCTTGTGTGTTTTTTTCATAAGTTTCTTTGCGTCACAATCAAATAACGTAAGTGACACCACGCCGGTAAAGTCTTGTATTATAATGGTGATTTTGAAACTAAAACCACTTATATAAACAAATTCAATAATATAAAATTAGAAATTTAATCGAAGATTATAGTAATATGTATAAAAGAGTTATTAAAAACCTTGGAACAACAGATACGTTTTTGTTCATGCAAGTTGAAGTGTAACAACAAAAAACTTCTTTACCGTGCTTTTGGTCTGTTTCACTAGCTTTGTCATCATGTATTAAAACGATTTTTATGGCTTTCTCTTGACAAACATGGGTCATACATTAAAAAATCGATATAAAGGGTATAATTTTGTTTCTGTAACAAAATGAATGAAACTAATATGCTTAAAGTAGATTGATTAATTTTTTTCATGACCTTTCTATAAGAACACAATAATAACAAATAATAAGAACATAGTAAATGCAAGAAATTGAAGAAGAATAAGGAGAATGGAGTAAAGTAAGAGCTTGGAAAAAAGAATTGGAGAAGCAGATTGCTCAAGAAGAACACTGTAAATCATATGACTCAATCCAAAATCGTAAGAATAGCCACTTCGGTGTAATCATATATATAAGGTGTTTCTGAATAAGGAAATCATTATCTTCTCAAAAAATTGAGATCCTAAGATATCATCTTAGAGATTTTTGGCTATTCATCTGGTAAAAAATGAAAGATATCTATATTAATTCAAAACTTGAAATTAAGTGACTTTCTTATTTAATCTATTTTAAAATCCAAATAATTATCTCAAATTGGTTCATTTTATGTGGGATATACTGGGAGAAAAGTTATCAATAATATTGACTTTAATTTTGACTCTTAAATATTTTGCTGATTTAATGAGATTAGATTAGATTTTATAGGTTAATAACTTAATTATTGATATGTTTGTCTAATAAGTTTTTAAAAATAAATAAAAAATAAAAGATAAACGGGTTTGAATTTGAAAATCAAAATCTATAAATAAGGGAATTAAATTAAGAACAATATTAATTAGAGAAATTGATATCATGTATATAAATAGAATGATATGTTTGAATTGATAAAATAATTACTGAATTTAAAGATTCTATAATTAAATGTAATTGTGTTTGAATTTTATTTGGGGAAGATGATGTCAAAAATTTGATCTAAGGGTGGAAAATATGGGATTAAAACACAATCAAGGGCTCTGATTATTTCATTGGTGAATTAAGGGTTCTCTTTTAATAATATTTAGAGATTATACGATCATAAAATTAAAAATATACATCAATTATTATATACAAAAAATTGTTCGCAATATGATCAAATAATTTTTTTCTTATTATATAAGTTTTTTTTAATCTCTACCGTGTGTTACACGAGTTATAACCTAGATGCTCGTTTGATGTTTAATGCAGGGCTAGCAGATGAAGCAACATTATTGTAGATTGGTGTAGTTTATATATTGGACATGTTATAAATGTACAAAACTAATCATCACATTAAAACTATCTTCCGAAAGAAATTCTTTGCTGCCCGACGCTTAGCGCGGGTAAACGGCTAGTACCTTATAAAGCATATTTGGTCAAAGGCTTAATATTAAGTCGTACAAACCATAATGCAATTTGTACAATCAATTTATACATATAGAAAATGTAATTCTTTTCCGTCAAACCGTTGAAAAAGTCAAAGTAATATGTAATTCAAAAGTCGTACTCATATCATTTAAAATTCACATTCATTCACAAATTTTGTTAGTTTGACTCTGCCCATTTTATATCTTGAATTTGTCATTCGCTAACTACCCGCATTCCTTCATTTTAGCATTTTCAGATCATCCTTATCTTCTACATCTTAGGCCCATCGTCACCATATAATTCAAGAGATCTATTTTTCGGTGAATTATTTTATCTGCTATTGATTTTCTCCATGTTTGCATTTATTTTTCTCTGAGTTTCAATCTATTTGAACCCAATCAAACCTCCAAAACCAGGCAAGCTTTACATAAGCATATTACACATAAATCTCTTATATTTCTATACATTAGTCAAATGAAAACCGGTAAGATCACGCCCACCTACAAATTACACAAATGATTTAGGTATTGAAGTAAGTCGTCGTTCTTCTCCCTACCATCGTCACACCACTCACCACCACCAGAGCAACACAGCACATGCACACCGCCATTGATAAGTCGATGTCCCTTCCCTGCCTCTGTTATGCTATTTATGTGAGTTTATTTTGCTCATTATTTGTTTTGGGACAATAGGTTTTCTTATATCTGAAGTCGTATGTATTGCAGGTTTTACACACATACCCGGAGAACAAGATTCATACCAGCTGCTTTCATCAGCTATCCATCTTCAACACTATCATCCAACCACCTCTCTCTTTCTTTCTCTCTCTCTCAACCCTAATTCGCCTATCATCCAACCATTGTACTACCTCACTACCACTTCACCATTGCATATCGTCGACGACCTTCAGAAGGAAGAAATTTTAAAGAGAAACAAAGAAACGATGATGTTATGGACAGATCAAGTGAAATACAAAATTATAAGGTTTTTGTTGATTGTGTGTTTGAATATATTTGAGGTTAAGTGTGTTTCTATGTACTCTATAATAGATTTGGGTGTATTTATGCGATTACAGGATATAAACAAACTTGAGTAAGGATCGACTATTCAAATTCAAATATTCAGGTTATCTGACTTCCGATAGCTTGTAGATCCTTAACCTAGAGGTTGCAATATTTTGATTTTAGGTAGATACATTTCCTCTCTAGACATCAGTTTCTTTTTATTTATTTGTATTTGTTGCTTCCTTTTTTATTTTGATTTTGGTGATGTTTATGTTGATAACAACGACATGATTTTGATTTTTGTGATATTTTGACGTAGGAGATTCGTTTATATGGTTTCTTCCCCAAAAAGTCACCGCATGTAACGCCTGTGTTTCTGGGCTTGCCATTTTTAGCAATGTAATAGTCTAGGTTAACCTTTGTAACCCGTTTTGAAATAATAGAAGTGTATTATTTGAGTATTATGTGTTTTGTGTTTAATTGCTTAATTATCTGGTTTGATTAATTAAGAATAAAAATAAGCGTCAAAATTTAATTGTATAATAAACTTGATATCTTTAGATAATGTTGTAGTAGTTGAAACAAGGTTTCTGAAGATATAAAGAATGTCGAAATCCGAGTTATAACGAAGAAGTTATGACCTGTCGAGGTTTCACGACAGAACCGGCACCGCTGAATGACGTAAAAAGTGAAATTTACGTTAGAGCGATATTTAGCCTTAGTGATCTAAATGAGAATCGAAGATCTCATTGTTAGTATCAAAGCGATAAAAAGTTAGGCGAGAACAGACGTCAAACGAAGAAGTTATGAATTTATAACGAAATTTTCTGTCCCGACCTATTAAAAATAAATAATAAAATAAAGTCAAAATTAGCCGACGGGGTCTAAACAAAAGTTGTAGAGCGTAGTCTCAACTTCGCGTGGATATAAAGAACGTCGAAAACGGAGTTCGTATGACGAAGATATGAATTTTCGAAGTTTATTAACTAATTAATAATTAAAATTAATTTTTAAACCTCGGTATTATCCGGAGGCGAGTCACCGGACTCATCCGGAGTACGCCCCGCATACTCGTGTATGCTCCGCGTACGGCGAAGGATGTCGACACTCGCACTCGAGGACTTCGGATGACGCATGCAGTGACGTTTCGGAGGCAGTACGCCCCGCGTACTGCGAGGCATCAACCTCCTATAAATAGGATGCGAGGGCAGCCGACTTCTTTGCTATTTTTCTCCATTCTCTCTCCCGTTTTGCATCATTTTGCGTGCTAGAAATACCCCGAAGCCCCGGTAATATTCCCCGAGTCCCGAAGGGAAGTCCCAAGATCCCGAAGATCCCGAGAAGTGCGGTTTCCGAGCCGAAGCTCTGCCCGCGAGAAGTTCGATTTTTGTAGAGATCTTCCAGATCTGCTGAGGATTACTGCTTTTGCAAGTCGTAGTGCTGTCCGATCATCTTCTGATCAAGTTAGTGTGTAGTTAATTTCTTCTAACGCATAATTATGAAGTATTTTATACGAAATACGTGTTATGTGTATAATTTTGTTGTTATGTGCGTGAATGTATATTCACTCTTTTCAATCTCATAGATCTGAATTGTTTTCTATGAAATACGTGTTATGTGGGTATGCCTCATCTGTTATGTGAAATATGTATTGGATGAAAATGCTATACAGGTTTTAAACTATGTATAAAAATATATATTTTTATCTACTAATATGTTGGGTAGAACATGGGTAGATAGTTGGTGTGTAATAAACAGATGAGAGGCCTCGATGTTGTTGTTGTTGACCTAGTTATTCAGCGGAGTATGGATAACGACCACAGACTCCTTCTAGACAGTCTCGTGGAACGCTAGCAGGTTCATAACCTGCAGGTGTTGTGAACGATGTGTTCACCGGTGTACTGTATCCCCCTCATGGTTGCCTTTAGGATATCTATTGTTGAGAAAACCCCTTAACAATAATGTCCGTCCCGATGAAAATCCTAGATTAGGTCCCTTGAGATAAATGTTGTTTTAGGGACGTAAAGTGTGGATAACGGGAATGGGTAATCGGGATAGTGATTGGTTGGTGAAATTAACTATAATTTATTTATTGTGGGTTGAAAACCCTATATGTTCACCAGGCTCCCAAGCCTGACCCACTCAGTTTTATTTGTATTACAGGAAGTGGCGCACGGGCGTAAGATGGATGAACCATCAAGTTGTTTTGTTTACAAGTCTGTATATGTACATATTTGTTGAATGACTTGTAATGTTATCGTTTATGCTTATTGGTCTGTATCGGAACATGACACCCCGAGTTTTGATTATATAATGAAAAATACATTTCTTTTATGAAATGCTTTGGTAAACATTATTTTATCATGTTTTGTTTTTGGGAACAAATTCCGCAACTCTTTCAAATCAAAAGGATTTACTCTGAAATTATTT